TAAAAATAATAAAATCTCAAAAAACAATAACTACACACATATACACACACACACACACACACATACATATATACATACACACACCCCTACTACACAACCCATTTGTTCTACTTCCAGCTATTTAACAAACAAAAATAAATGCATTATATGTCCTCACAAAAACTGCACACAAATGTTCATGGCAACCGCATTTGTAAGAGCCCTCAACTAGAAACAACTCAATGCCCATGAATAGGTAAAGAGACAAGCAAATTATGGTATACCCACATAATGAATGCTACTCAGTAATAAAAGGTATTAAACTATTGATACACTCCACAACATGGATGAATCCCAAAAATGTATTCTAAGTAAGACTTGAATGTGAAAGCAGCCAAAGAAACAAAAGCACACAGGGACCATGAGTATAGCTCAGCGGTACAGTGCTTGCCTAGCACACGCAAGGTCCTGGGTTCAATTCCCAACATATACCAAAAAAAAAAAAAAAAAAAAACAAAACCTGGATGATTCCATTTATATAAAATTCAAAAAAATGTGAACTAATTTACAGTGATGAATAGGAGGTCAGTGGCTGACTAGGTGGTGGTGAGAAATGAGAGGGCACAATGACATTAATGGGTGATGGATAAACTTATTATCTTGACTGTGGTGATGACTTCATGAATGTATACACAGCTAAACTTATTAAAATGCACAATTTAAATAGTATAGTCAACTATATCTCAATAAAATCTCTACAAAATTTAAACACAAATACTGAATTCATAAGCATACAGTTATTTTGTAATTTTGAAAATTAGACTGGCATTGTCCCTTTCTTATCAGCTACACTGGATGTCAAAAGGTCTTCAAAAATACTACATGAAAATAAAGTCCGACTAGAATTCTATAAAACCATCCAAATCATTGATCAAGTGTGAAGGTAGAGAAAAAAGAGGTTTAAAATTGTAAGAAGAGTTTACTTTCCACTCACCCTTTAAAAAATATTTGAGAATATACTCAGCAAAACCTGAAAAATGTTTTTAAAACTGAGATGATGCACAATACACAGCTGTATAAACTTAAAAATATAAAAATGGCAACTGCACATCATGAAGGAGAATCAATTTGCAATTAGCTCTAAAATAGTCTCCTTTGGGTAGGTAAGTAAAAGTTTTGACCCCAGGTCCAGAAAAGACATAAAATTCAACACATAACACACTGTAAGACTCTTAAATGAACAATTCATAAGTGCCACATGTATGCTATGTGCTCCTCCTGATATTAATTGAAAGGGGGAAAAAAATCCAAAATATGTCTCCTCAGTCAAGTAATCCAGAACAGAGGGGGCAGGTATGTTGACTAAGATCAAATTAATGGGCTTATGTAACTAAATGTCAGAAAATACCCACCATGGGGTTGGAGGAACCTACCAGAAAAAGAGACACTGATCAAGGTTGGCACACTAATTAATTAGCATGGTCAGGGAAAGCTTCTCTGATAGGTAATTGTTAAAAGAGTGCTGAACGAAATGAAGTAAGCTTCACAGAAGTGTGGAGGAAGCGTTCTAGGTTTAAAGCATAAAATACATAGGGCAGAGGTATACTTGGCATATGTAAGAACAGCAAAGGTAGAAAGTACCAAATAATGCAGGGCCTTTCAATGGTAGCCTCTGGTACATGTCCATGATCCCAGTAACTCAATGCTGAAGAGAATCCTATGTTCAAGGACACCCTGGGCAATTAAGCAAGACCTTGTCTCAATATAAAATTAAAAAGGGCTAGGGGACAGGCATGTGGCACACACCTGTAATTCCAGTGAGTCAGGATGCTCAGACAAGAGGAACACAAGTTCAAGGCCAGCCTCAGCAACTTAGTGAGGCCCTAAACAACTCAGTGAGATCCTATCTCAAAATAAATAAATAAAAACGGCTGGAGGATACACCTCAGTAGTAAAGTACTCCTCGGTTAAACCCCTGTATCTAAAGCAGAAAAAAAGAGGGCTGGATCTGGGAGTGTAGCTCAGTGGTAGAGTGCTTGCCTAGCATGATTGAGGCACTGGGTTCAATCCCTAGTATTCAAGAAAAAAAAAAGTTATCTTTATGAACAACAAAACAAAAGGACTTTATATATGTGGTTCAAAGTTAGAGTGAATACTGGAGAGACTGAAAACAACAATAATTCTGAGAAGCCCTAATAATTCTCAGAAAGCATAAGTTGTCAGGAATTGCCACATAGGAACCAAGTCCCCCCCAGCTTTGAGCAATGAGAATGTGGAGATGTCCAGCCATGGGCTGTGTGTGTGTCAACTATGAGCATTGAGCACACAAAGTGGACTGAACCAACGCTGCCCCTCTGATTGGGAGGGGGACATATGGGTCTTTTTGCTAACTAACCATGACTAGATTTGTATGTGTAATTTAGCATTTGCGTATTGAAGATATTTTAGGAAAATCAGAGTGGAATAAAGTATAAAATAAGGTGATAGTGCGAGTAGTTTAGGCAAAAGAAGAGGATAACCTAGGACTGGGTACAGCTCAATGGCAGAGAACTTGCCCAACATGCTGGGATTAATCACCAACACCTTGAAGGAAGAGAAAAAAGAGAGAAAGAAGAGCCTAAATTGAATAGTAGACAAAAAGAATGGGATGGATTCCAGATAAATTCTCAAAGTAGAATTTATTCATGGGTAGACTGAATGTGAAAGCTGAGGAAAGAGAGATCAAGGATAACTAGAAGTTTTTTATCTTAAACATCCAAATGGATGGCAGTTCTATTTACTGAAATACAGAAAGTTGCAAATTCAAGGAAGAAAAAATTAAGTATTCGTTTGACAACTCAAATTCTATGATAAATCTTAGCCTAACCAAAAGTAGGAAAACAAAATACCATAAGCTTCTTTATTCATTACAGTATATAGTATAACTTAAGTACACTTGCCAAGGAGAATCTAATCAAACTGCTAGAAGTGACTTAATAACATCACAAGAAAACAAACAAATCTAGCGCATGAAACAGTCCCATAGGAAAATTGAACTGTTTCCTCTAACAAGTCTAGCAGGGTACAGACCTGAATAAAAATTTGAGAACTACAGTAGGGACTGAGGGCATAGTAGCTCACTGGTAGAGCACTTACTTGATACGAGCAAAGCCCTGGATTCGGTCCCCAGTACAACAAAAATAAAAATTAAAAAACTTGGGCTGGGGATGTGGCTCAAGCGGTAGCACGCTTGCCTGGCATGTGTGCGGCCCAGGTTCGATCCTCAGCACCACATACAAAGATGTTGTGTCTGCCGAAAACTAAAAAAAAATAAATATTAAAATTCTCTCTCTCTTTAAAAAAAAAAATTAAAAAACTTAATAAGAAGCACAGTGATCAAGATACGGAGCTGATCTAGATCATCTCTGAACAAAATAACTATAAAAAGATACTGTTATAATGAGGGAAATTTCATTATAGTCGATGTATTATATGACACTAAAAATATACTGTTAATTCTTATTAAAATGCAAAATGGCGCTGGGCATGGTGGTGCATGCTTATAATCCCAGGGGCTTAGAAGGCTGAGGCAGGGGGATGCGAGTTCAAAGCCAGTCTCAGTAAAAGCAAGGCACTAAGCAACTCAGTGAGACCCTGCCTCTAAATAAAATACAAAATAGGGCTGGGGGTGTGATCAGTGGCTGAGTGCCCCTGAGTTCAATCCCCAGTAGCACTCCCCCCAACCCCACCACACCATAAAAAGCATAATGACATTTTGGTCATATAAGAAAATGTCCATTAGGGCTGGGGATACAGCTCAGTTGGTAGAAAAAAAGAGAAAAGAAAAAAAAAAAGAAAAGAAAATGTCCACTGCTTTAAAATACTTAAGGCAAGAGTGAAAGAACTAAGGAAAATGAAACAGAAGTAAACATTAACAATCTTTTTGTAAATTTAAATATTTATTTTTTAGTTGTAGTTGGACACAATACCTTTATTTCATTTATTTATTTTTATGTGGTGCTGAGGATCGAACCCAGGATCTCACACGTGCAAGGCGAGAACTCTATCGCTGAGCCACAACCCCAGCCCCTCGTTAACAATCTTAATAACTTCGTTAACAATCTTAATAACTGCTAAATCCAGGCAATGAGTGTAAGAAAAGTATGTTTAAAACTTTTAAAAAGAAAATGGCTCTGTGTTTTGGACCTGTTAAATCTGAATGCCTATGAGACACGCAACTGGAAAAGTTAAAGTGGAGTTGGACCCGCTATTCCAGGAGCCACGGAACTAGAGACAAAAAGGTGGAAGGTCCCACCAGAGTCTTTGGCCACCTAACATCTAAATGTCAAGAGCTGGAAGAGTCGTCAGCTAAAAAGACAGAAGACAGGACAGGAAAAAAAAAAGAATGAGAAATAACAGAAAAAGTATTTTTAAGAAAGTTTGGGTTCAACTGATGGTTAAAGTTTCTAGAAAATGATCACAGTTGTGGAAATACAAAAAGCACAAGTAACTACAAAAGCAGTTTCAGCAGAGTGAAGGAGGAAGGCTTTGAATATTTGAAAACTCATTTTTAAAAAACCTTACATGTACTTTTCTAAATTCAAATACACTTTTTATCTTTTAATATAAAAGCACAGTAGTACATGCCTATACTCCTAGCATCTCAGGAGGCTGAGACAGGGGAATCACAAATTCAAGACAGCGCCTCAGCAACTTAGCAAGACCCTGTCTCAAAACAAAGGGGCTAAAGATGTAGCTCAGTGGTAGAGTGCCCATAGGTTCAATCTCCAGTACCAAAAAATAAACATAAATTTAAAAATCTAGACTATTTATTTAGTGATCCTAGGGATGGAACCCATGGCCTTGCACATGCTGGGAAGGTACTCTACCACTGAGCTACACCTCCAACCCTTATTCTCTCATTTTATTAAAGTTAGTTACAAACCCTCCTAGGATGATTGGGGCCTATTATCAAATATTATTTTAATACACATACTTCATAATTGTAAGTACTTCATAATTGAAAATTAACTATTACTTACACAGCCATCATGCACATTTAGAGTTGCTTCAAGTTTCAATCTTTGGATAAATTCTCTTCTTCCTGTTTAAAAAGAAAGAACTAAATAAATCATAGAATCTACTACTAACAAAAAATATCACAAAGAAATTAAAAGCCTAAAATCTGGCATAATAAGGTAGACTCAAGCTCAAATTTCAGCTCTGCCATTCATAAGCTGAGTGACACTGGGCAAATTAAAATTAACCTCCTGAGCCCTGGCTCACGCATTAGCAGACCTACACCTCATGTGTACAGGACTAAATGAATCAAGGAATGAAAGGACTCTGCACAGTATCTGGGCCACGTAAACATTCAAATATATATTCATTGATCAATTCATTCAACAGATATTTATGTGGTGCTCCCTGTTCCAACTAATTTCAAGAGCTTGTTACAGTGGTAACAAAACAGAAAAGATCGCCTCCTCTCATAAAAGGATAAAGACAATGAACAATATGTCAAGTTAATGAGAGCATTATGTAGAAAGAATAAAGCAGGAAGGAGGATAAGTGAGGGTTGTGGATAGGGACAAAGTTTTTAATTTTAAATAGGGTGACAAACAGTGGTAATAAGATGCCACCAATTTTTAAGCAAATCTCAATTTTAGAAATCTTAAAAATATATCAAATTTTAGTGATGAAATGTGACACCAAAAAAAATAAAATTAGCCCAAGGTCCAGCAACAGCAGAATAGCTAAAATATTGCACAAATAAAGTTCCCTCTTTGAGCTGGGCATGCAGCTCCCAGTAGCTCGGGAAGCTGAGGCAGAAGGACCGTGGGTTCAAAGCCAGTCTCAGCAACAGCAAGGTGCTAAGCAACTTGTCTTTAAATAAAATACAAAATAGGGCTGGGGATGTGCCTCAGTGGTTGAATGCCCCCAAGTTCAATACCTGGTACCCACCCCCAAAAAATTTCCCCCTTTGAACTTTTAGTCAAAGTTCAGTTTGTCCCTCCAAGAACTTTACCAAAGATGGACTAAAAAGCATGTTTATTCAGAAGCCGTAGTGAAAGAGAGCTGAATTTATGACAAAAGGTGACAATTAAATAAGTACAATCAATCAGGCTTGATGAGCTCTCCAATAAAATTAAATCTGACTATATTCTCCATATACTGTTATATAGGACAAATTACTGTGTTTTCTTTTCACTCAAGGTAAAGATCAAGATCCTCCTTGAAGCCAATTTGTTTTATTTCCCTAATTATAACTGTTAAGATGGCTAGGTAAAGGGTAAACATACAGGTTAAAATGTAAGTTATGGGGATGTTTTGTGGAGGATGGTCCATGGTACCTAGATTTTAAAAATAAAACAACCTAGAGAAACTCAGTAAAGTGTTTTCATGAACTAGGTTGTTCTTCATATAATTAACTTTTAAAATCTGATTTTGTTTTAAAAAGATGCTACCTGTGGCAAACAGGTAATTTTCTTTTTAAAAACTCCTCTCCTTTTGGCTAAAGACAGTCTTGATAATCCTGCTAAATTATAAATTAGACTTAAGAAACAAAGTATTCAAATTAACAATAGGACAGCAATTAGAACTCATTAAAATGCTAAAATACTAGAAACATATTTTTTCCCAAATTTTAAAAATCTGGTTTCAAACCCAGCTCTAGCCATTTTGGTCTAGAGAAAATGGTAGTAGGACATAAGAGAACAGAAGATAAACTGAGCTGTTCTGGCAAAAACTCTCACCTGTGAAATTTGCACCTAAATTCAAGCACTGAGACATGATATAGTTAGGTCCTAAATGACATTTTTACATGTGACTGTGGAGATAAAACTGACTGTGCTGTCCAGATATGGGCTTCTACAAGATAAAAACCACCATAGAGTAAGAAAGAACTAACTTATAAAAATTGAGCTCTCTAAAATTAAACTCATGTCTGAATGTCATTAAAAACTGTGAAGGTTCTGGCCTATGTGCAATATCACCAGCTAGCCTGATACTATTTCTTGCATAGTAGCAGAAGACTCAAAAGACTTGCTACCTACAGCATGCAAGCAGTGTGAGCTTCAGGTTCACACTGGCTCCCGACCTCCCAAGCCCCAGAGGGCACCTCGGAGAGGTGTGGGTGGATGGCATGCAGTGAGTCTGGATCACCAATGAAGAGCCTGAGCTGGGGGACCCAACCTCTTATCCAGCATGTTGGCCTCAACTTTATCCAGAAGCGCAGCACTGTTTGTGTTAAACTAGACAGTAAACTCGCCCTCTGTTCCAGGAGACAATGTATCTTCCAAGGCTGTTCTCTATATAAACATCATTGAAAAGACAGTCCAGAAAAAAGCAGTTTTGTGGTGCTGAGGATCGAACCCAGGATCTCACACGTGCAAGGCGAGAACTCTACCGCTGAGCCACAACCCCAGCCCCTGCCTAGACACAGGCAGTCTCTGCTCACAAGATGTGCAGAATGAAAAGAGGCCATGGAGAATCCTCTCCCAACAACCCCATGTTTGTTATGGATGAACTTACTATGCCTTCCTACTCAACTCTTTCTGTACCCCAAGATCCCTTTTAGAATTCTACCTCCACTTTGATATTCTACTCTAATGACTGATAATAAGCTCCATCAGAGGAGCGCTCATTTAGTCAAGTCTCCTCAGTGTTAGAACAGTGCCTAGCACAAAGCATTCAGTATACATTTGCTGAATTAGTGAATAAATAATTAGGATATTATCCCATCCTGTTTTCCCAATAATACTTAGTGAACATCTTTCAATGACAATTAGGAGCTAATTATTGCTCATTTTGGTAGTTGTATAACTTATTAAACAACTTCCTGATTTGTGTGTCCACATATATACCTCCACCTCCACACTACAATGTTTGGGACAAGAACATAGGTTTAATAAATATCTATCTTGGGACATACAACATTTATGCTGGGTGAAACTCTTTATCCCTCAAAGCCTTAGTTTTTTACATTTGTAAAAGTAAGAATAATACTAAAAATATCACAGGTTTGTTAAAAGAAGATTATAACATTATGATTAGCATATGCACAACTTCTAAACGTGCCTGAAATACTGTAGACATTTAAAATCAGTTCTCTATATGTGTGTGGGTTGTTCTAATTTAAGATTGTCTGAAAAGACAATTTTTTTTAAATATATAACTTCAGTAAAGGAGTTAACTGACTGAGGAAAAACAGTTATGCCAATGTTACTGAAAAGAAATGGAAAAGCATTTTAACAAAGTTTTATTCCATTTTCATTTGACAGTATTGTCCTCTGAGCTTTCTAACATGAACTTCTCACATACCACACATACTGCCATTCCTAGCCCACTATCAGGCCTTCCTTTCCTATTCATGGGCCCCAACTTGGTTCATTCAGGCCACTATAACAAAATGTCTTAGTCCGGGTAGCTTATGAAGAAGAGAATCTTATTTCCCATAGTAACAGAGGCTGGAAGTTCAAGATCAAGGTACTGGCAAATCTGGTGTCTGGTAAGAGCCAGTTCCCTATAGATAGCACCTTTTCACTGTTCCCTCAGATGGTAGAAGAGGAAAGAAGCTCATCAAGACCTCTTTTATAAAGGCACTAATTCATTCATGAGGGCTCTGCCATCATGACCCAATGACTCCCAAAGGCCCCACCTCTTAACACCATTACCTTAGGGGCTAGGATTTCAACACAGAAACTTTGGAGGGGCACACACATTTAGACCCACAGCAGTCCCATTGGCCGTTAGTTTGATTTCAGAAATTACAAGTGCTGGGTAAACCCCCAGACACATTTTCATGACCCCACAGTAACATGTGTCATGGCTAATGACTAAGCCTTTAGATACAACCTTTTCTGGTTGCCGTGGCTCAAGGTAACAAGGAGAAATGCACACCAAAGACAACCACCTTCTCCAAGGAGCAGTGGGATATAGAACTGTTTTCTTCTTGGCACAAGGAGGAGAACGCCATGTAGCAAGTAAGAAGAAATCAGGGAAAATTTAAATGGACACGGAATACCCACTGTGGGCTACAAGGACAGCTCAGAATCTACAGGAACCCTAGACACAGGCAGTCTATACTCAGTGGCCAGCTCTTCTCCATGAGCTTCCATCAAGCTCTCATAGGACTATGAAAACTGGGCAGGACACACAGAAGATCCTTGTCTGAAAGAGTATAGAACTCCATTCATTTTCTAGGCTGTTCCCTCATGGGAAGCAAATGCCTCAAGCCCTGGCAGACAGGACCTCAGCAAACTTCCCTACTCACACCCACTTAGGCAAAGGCAAAATGTCAGGGGACAAACCGCCTATCCTTAAGGGAGGGGCAGAATTGACCCACCCAGTCCTCCCATACACCTTACGTTGAACAACAAGCAAAAAGAGTAAGTGTGGTAGCTCCAAACTGTCTCAACACAGCCAGACTAAACTGTTCCCCAGAACTCCTTCCCTCTATGTTTCTGCTTAGAATGAGTCACAGTCATTTTACAGTGGGCTTAGAGGGCGGAAATAAAACAGAAGCCATATTATTTTTAATACCTAGAAGTCTGGAGCAGATGATGCTCATGTATCTGACAAACCTTAATACCTATCTACTGCCTCATCTTGCTGGAATAGACAGCAACTAGGCCTTCAACTGCCCCACTTTCCCTTGTATCCTCCTTTAGTTTCTTCAAACACTAGACCAACTGTTATATTTAGGTCCATGACAAAGTGCGTCAGCTGTTCCTACAGAACACCCATATCAATTAGATTAGAGACACTGTGAATTGACACAGTGTTATGTCTTCTTGGGATCCTGCTTGGGCTCTTTTGAAATCACATATCTTGTCTTTGTTCTCCCTCACTTTACAATGCCTTCCCTTCCCAACTGCCTGTCCTGCAGATGTCAAGCCCCAGAATCAGACATGAAGAGAATAACTTATAAAATTGTTTTGGTGAGTAATTAAATAAGGTCAAATCCCTATAAAACATCTTTATGCATATGTATGCACGTTCTGCTTCTCTGATTGAACCCATTCATGACAAACACTCAGCAACTCAGCAGGAGGGAAATTTCCTCAATATAATATGAGCACCCCCCCCCCTCACCCCCCCCCC